CCCCAAAACCCCAAAACCCCAAAACCCCGTTAGCCAAGAATAACAGAGTTTGTACAGATAATGATAATAAAATAAAGTAAGATAAAATGGGAATAGACCATGAGAGAGTTTTGAATATGGACTAGGTAAACTTAAGTCTCATGAATTGTATGCTCTGTAAATAAATTCTAAATAACCCTTGCATGTGTGGTGTTTGCAATTCTCACTTTTGCTACGAATGCCTCAAAGATGAACTCAAATAGTAATAAACCATTGATGTCGATAAAATATTACTATAGAAATGAAAATAAGTGCCCAAATCATAACCTAATGATGTATAGAGAAGATATAAGAAAATAATCTCAAGCAGTTCAAGACTAAGAAAATATCATAATTGTTAGATGCTAATTCTGCACTCATACTGATAAATTAGCTAATATTAGAAGACATGAGAGAAAATGTGAGCATCGAGCTTCACCTATGAAATTTGCAGATTAAAAAGGGCAAGCCACGAGTAATTTGAACTAACTATCAAATGGATACGGGTAATAATTTAGCAATAACTTTTAGTAAAATACAATTAACAAGATTACTAATCCATAACTATTAAATGATATGAATTTAATCTAATAAGCCTAGAATCATTATGGACAGCCTCTAACGACTTCATAATAACCATTAGTTAAAAGGAACTTTGAATCAATTCTAGGATCTGAAATGAGCTAAGAATTATAGCCAGATTATCCTGTAAATGAAATTAAACTAAAATATGACCAGTTTTAAGGAAATACTTAAAGTAGAAATCAGAATCTGATCAAGGTAAACAAAACTAAAAGTTAGAGATGAGAAAGAAGGTCGATTCTAAAAGAAACTTTTGAATCATCTGTGTTTACTGATCCATCCATCAATCTTGTTAACTAAGTCTAGCAAACTAAGAGGCTTTTGGCATTTTAAGATTTCAATGATAAAGTCAACAGTCTTGAGTATCAATCCGAAATAGGAAAAGTTATTCATGAAAATTAAATTAATGAACTTCAAGTATAGTAAGAAATTAAGATACCTTCAATGAAAACTATTCAAGTAACAATTCCTGAAAAGAAATTTCAATACCTTCCTTCTTTTTAAAGAGCTGAAGAGGAAATGAAAGATAATGTAAATCATTTAAGGAATAGATTTATTTTCAATAATCTTAAGGTTCAGTAAACACTTCAAGAACTTAGTCAAAAACACTCTAGAGAGAGCAATATTAGTTCATATTCAAGCAAACCACACAATCCGTATTTGAGGCAAGTGCTGACCTAAAATATATTTAACTCAAATAACCATCCAATAAAAATCCAATAACAAAATAGTCAAATTCGTTAAACACCTAATAAAACTTTTGATGCAAGTTTTTCGAAATTTTAGAATGGCTATTAAGATAATGCAAACCAACCTATTGGATATTAAAGCATACTCGATAAATACTAAAGTAAAAATTTATATACTGATGTTATTCTGAAAGAATTATATCAAACAAGATTGCAACTTCAACAAATGCAACAAAAGATTGATAATCAGCAAAATAGCATGATTATGAGTCCTGTTTATGAGAAGTAATATACAGTTAGTTTGACCTAGCCACCTGCTTCTTACAGTGTCCCTGCCTATCAGAATGAATCGTTTTAAAATCCTTTGCTAAATAATAAGCTTTCGTTTCAAACGGATGTCCATGGAAATATTGACTATGAAAATGTTCGATACGACTAAAAGTTAGAATAACTTTTTGGGAAATTACATGCTAAAGGATTATAATCACATTCTCCTGGATATTTAAGACCAATGCCTTAGTAGAATATCTCAATAAACATGAGAGAAGATATGCTTCCTTCAAATTCAACTTTGGTATCTTTTCATTCAGGCTATGAACAACAATGACGAATTAGTTTTATGTGATTTTATAGTAATATCAACTATTAGACTTAATTTTTATTAAAATGGTTTTATCAATTATAAGATAGTATTTATAAACAAATTTTTTGTCATCAGAGAATAGCTTGTCTGCCATTCCAGCTCACTAAGCCATGATCCCATTTCGTTCTAATTACAGCATCTATTGGCGGAATCATTTCTGTAGTCTCCTAAAGATTGATTGGTCCCTTGTAGGCACCAAGCTTTACTGTCATTATATAATCATCCTCTTGTCTCGCTAGTTCATCATAGTATACTAGATCGAAAACTTGCTGCTTTTTAGAAGCAAGTGAGAAATCAGTTGAGAAAATTACACTATAATGGCTCTCAGAGCATATTATCCAAATAGGAACTTTTGGATTCTTGAGAAAATTTCCAACCTAAAAATATCCATATGCCTCAAACAAAGTTAAAAATCCGACATCAGATTGCTTATGGATTCCTTTTAAAATAAAGTTATCTCCAATATCCTTATCTCCATCAAAAACATTGCTTGCAGATTTTCCGACAAGCATTAAATTAATAAGCTCCTAAGATGCATAACCATGCTCTGTAAGAAGTGCGTTATCTTAAACGTCCATATCTGATTTAATATTATCAATTCCTTTTGTTAAAATAGCTGAGTACACAAGCAAAATTACTCCATGCCCATCTGCACTCACAAAATAGTTAATGTTATCCTTGACAATATCAAATAGAATTTTCTTGTCAAAAGTTTTTATTATGAGTTTTTAGCATTATGTCGGGATAATTGGATTCTTAGGATTTTGGGAGCTTGCAGGTATCACTAGATTAATTTTATATTTATTCTCATCTGTAGAATTTAAAAGGATGTCTACTATTGCTGCGGCTATATAGTTATCTCTTTTTTCCTTTGGAATTTTAGAAAGTTATATTTGTGAAATATAGAGCAAATGTTTAAGGAAAAACGCTTCTACAGTTGCAAGAATACCACAAGGTCCTCCTTCTTTCTAGTATATGCCATAATTGAGTTTTTAATCGAAGAAAAATCCTTAATGCCAAGAGTCATGGAAATTGCTGTTAGGGTTTTTGAATAGCAGCTTTCTTATCTCCTAGCTTTCAGTTTATGTTATGTTTGAATCTTAGTAATATTGTCTAATATTTTGTCTACTTGATGCAGATAATGCTCCCATATTGTAATCAAACTATCCATCATTCTCTTGTACATATCCAGACAGCTAATATTTTAGTTCATTCATATTTTTATATTGCTAATTCTAGTCTAATTGATTTTGTTTTTTCTATTCTTCTCTTAACTTCTTTTCCTGTTCTGACTTTTTTAAGAATCCAAGAGTATCTCTCATTTGATCAGGCTTTTTCCCAGGATTTTTATCTTCACTTCCTCCTCCGAAACCCATTAAATCATCTAACTCATCAATATCGCCAGCATCATTCGTAGCCTAAGCTTTCCTTTTCATTGATTATGGATTAGGTATATATCTCTATTATCCACTTATTATATTGCTAGTTTGTGGTCTATTATTAGCTTAAACATGACCCCAAGGATCTTATTACTGATTTTGAACTCTAGTTTTAGTAACTGGTAGATATCCATCAGCTTTCGAGTCCTCTTCTAAATCCCAGTCATCTACTTCAGCCTGCTGATTACTATTATGTTTTTAAAGATTCACAGGCTTTTTCTCAATTACAGGTTTAGCTTCAGCTTCTTGCTTCTGTTAAAACCAGTTCGCTTAAGTCTTAGCTGTTTAATTTGGTTATGGAATTGGCTTTCGTACTTAAGAACCAGCTTTTCTTAGAGCATTAGCTCCACCTACTATTGGCTGCTATTATTGCTATGAATTTTTAGTGGATTCTGTTGTACTAGTATCATTAGTAACTAAGCTCGAGTTTGCTTTAGATATTGTGCTTTCTTGTGGTGGCAAAACACCTCCTGTCAACTTTCTGCAGCATACTAGGAAGTCACATACAATATCTAGCATTGTCTCAAATTCTTTATTTTTAGAATTTTTTTTCATTAATGCTTCTATTCCTAATAACTTCATCAATTCGTTCTTAGTCATTGTAACTTTTGGCCTTGTATCCTCTTTAATGAATTGATCATAAGTTTTGTCAAAACCATTCTTTTTTAGGAACTCACGAATTAAAAATCTGGAATAATCTTCAGGTTTGAAATTTTAACTTGCCATTACTTTCAAATTATTGAATTTTAAATTATATATAAGGCATTATTAATAAATAAGGAATAGGTAGGAATGTATTATTATTAAAAGTCAATAAAGAGTAGAAGATATGGCAGAGGTCGTTTAAAAGAAGAAGGAGAAGTTCGAAAACAGGATGAGAGACATCAAGATCGAAAAGCTTGTCCTCAACTGCTCAGTCGGAGAGAGCGGTGACAGACTCACCAAGGCTGCTAAGGTCCTCGAAGATCTCACTGATCAAAAACCTGTTGAATCCAAGGCCAGATACACAATCAGAAGCTTCGGCATCAAGAGAAACGAAAAGATGGCCGTCCACGTTACTGTGAGAGGTGAAAAGGCTGAGGAACTCCTTAAGAGAGGTCTCAAGGTCAAAGAGTTCGAACTCAGAAAGAAGAATTTCTCTGATGAAGGTAATACGCTCGCTTTTTCTTTCCTTTGTATTAATTTAATTATTATATAGGAAACTTTGGGTTCGGTATCGATGAACACATCGACTTAGGTATCAAGTATGACCCATCCACTGGTATCTATGGTATGGACTTCTACATCGTCCTTGCTAGACCAGGCAAGAGAGTACAAAGAAGAAAGCTCAAGAACTCATCTTTCGGCAACTTCCAAAAGATTAGCAAAGAAGAAGCAAAGCAATGGTTCATTGAAAAACTCGGAGGTACCGTACTTTGAGCACAGTTTGACAAACTTTCTTCATTCTCTAAGTTAGAGATTACATAAAATTAAACATAATCATTCTTATTATAAACTAATATAAATTAATAATTATGCTAAGGAGCTGCACCAAGATCTCGCAAGCATGAAATGATCATCCATTAATTGTTAAGGATAATGAATCCTGATGAATCCTCATCATAACTCAATATGAGTACAGTCGCTAACCCACAATTAAAGATGATTTATATGTGATGCAAATGATTAGAAAGTCACAATTGCTCATTTCAAAAACAAAAGAATCTGCACTATTAGTTGTGGTTTTATATTTGGTGATGATGCTAAGCCATCTCTGTTAATTTTTATAGTCGTTTATTTACAAAATTTTCAAGATCTTAGTCCAAACCTGATCTGAGATCCACATCATAGAAGGAAATATCATCTAAATATTGTGCTTAAGACTACTATTTTTCAAATTCAGTTGACTATCTAGGTATATCTTTGTTGGTTGTGCGAGATGTTTGATTAGGCAATGTTTTCACAAAGCTATTATTAGCTTTGGTGTTAATCATAGAGTCGATCGATTAATAATCCATTTTAAAAAGTGCCTCGTAGATTGATTCCTGATTTACAGTTTTCTCTTAACTCATAGAATATTCATTACTTTCTTTGATAATATCATAAGTTGATCCATTTGAAGTCTTCATCAAGCTTATTCTTGATTATTTGGAAGTCTCTAGCTTCTATTATTGCTTATTTTTCATTCCGTCTCTTGGCATCGATGAACTTCGAATCATAGAGTTCTTGAAACTTTAACTTTTTTATGTTTTATTTTTTGCAGCAATCTATAAGGGAACCGTTGTTATTATTCCGCTGTCTTATTAAGGTTTATCAAATCTCGGCTTAGGTTTTTAAGCTAAATCGAAGGGTATCAGCTTTCTTTGATCTCTTTGGTCAGATATCATTTTAATTTGTCTGAATTCTGATTCTCCTATCGACCTCTCAAACTTTGAACTAATTGTTGTGCTTTGTAATTCTGATGAAAAAGGCTTAGATGATGCTAACTAACTATTTGAATTGCTAGATGATCGATTATTGAATCTAAAAATTTTCTTGCTGATTTTTTTCTTAAAAAAATTAATTTCATCATTATATATCTTACTTCTTGTATTTAGTCTATAGATTATTATTAGGATTACAAGATTTCATTTAACTTTTTCACTTTTAACACTCTATCATGGTATTATGCATCTATTGATAGCCTGTCATTATCAATCTAAATAAATTAAGTTAAAAAGTTATCCCTACTTTATCCAGCTTCTTCTTAACAAAGCAAATAGCTTGGAACTTGAAATGAATCTCAATCAATCCACAGATCCATTTGCAAATGATCTTAAGACCTCTCAGATTATCTTTCACTTTGTATTTTTCTTACTTATCTGTTTTGCTTTTCATTAATTAATCTAAGACAGGTTTTTATTTCCAAATTTCAAGTAATTTATCCCATTGCTTAACATCCAATATCTTGAAGAACTCAGTTTACTTTTCTTCATTTCTTGACATTTCACTCATTTAATCAACTAACTCGTCGTAATGATTAAACTAATTCTTATTTCCTTTCTATATATAGCGTTGTTATTAACCCATATTTTAATTCAATTTACCTTGAACATATCTATTTTGAACTCTAGAGTTGTTAGTGTTATTCCCAAGCATTCACTGAATATTGCAAGAATATTGCTCACTTCTTTTTGCTTTACAATGTTTTTTGGAAGTTAGCCAATCTCAAAGAAGGCATCTTCATTGAATTCATTGATGCAATCTTTTAAGACACTTTAAGAAATGGAAATTTCATGCTACAAAAACTCAATTTGCTGTGAAAATTAGTCCTTCTCCTTAAGACACTTTTGCAGTTTGTTTTGATATATTTTTAACTCAGCAATATAATCTTAACGCTTTTAGCGGTTCTAAACAATATATTACTATAGTCAATAAGATTACCTTTTCTAGTTCTTTTTTAATCATTTACTGTTTACTTTGCTTTTAATTTAAAGGTGAATGAGGATGAGATACATTATTAGAAAAGTTGTCTGCTATTTTATGAGTTCTCGAATGAACAGGTTTTCTTTTATGCTTGAATTTACTGCTTAACCGTTCTGGCCTAAACAATGGAGATTCAGCCTATCTAAAATGGTGCTATATTTATTGAGTTGATATGAGATTTGTCATTTTTATTCAAATGAATAATCAATCTTAGTTATTAGTTATTCTTAAAATTTTCATCATTACGGGGTTTTGGGGTTTTGGGGTTTTGGGGTTTTGGGG